GGAGGTTTCTTCTGTTAAAGGGAGTTTTTCCTCCCCACTGTCCCCAAGTGTTTGCTTAAGGGGGATTTGTTGGGTTTTTCCTCTGTAATAATAATGATAACAGTAAGGTCTAGAGTCTAGACCTTACTCTGTAAAGTGTCCTGAGATGACTTTTGTTGTGATTTGGCGCTATACAAATAAAACTGAAATGAACTCAATTGAACTGACAATGAAAAACACATATGATTGGAAAAAGAAAACAAGTAATGTGTAAATAAACTAAATCAAGGAGAAACCCATCTCTACAGACTCCATTTCCACAAGAACAGAGGGACAGTTTCATTGCCTATCGGATGTAACAGGAGCTGTGCACCTCTGCTGCTTGTTTCTTTGTCTTGTGTTTTGTTTACACTGGTCACATTGGGTCTATTCCAGACATCCATGTGCTGTTTCCTTTTAACAAGCCCAACAGTTCAAGTACTAAGGTGTGGCCTCAAGATACAGATATACTATTCTTTTTAATACGTCAGGGCCAAGTACTAGGACAAGAGCATGAAGAGGGACTCCACACTAAGTGGCAATAAGGTGATGTGAAGTACTTCAAGAAGAGTTTAGCTTTCTGCTTCTTATAGAGTAGGAACAGAGGAACATAGAGGCAGCGGGTGGGTGGTGGCCTGGATGATTAGAGTGAAGGGTGAATTCACAACGTTGTATTCTTGAACCAGGACAAGATTTTATCAATATAATAAGGAAACATTTCCAATAAATGTATTTACAAGACAAACCATTTTATTTAATTTTTTATTTTGTTTTCCTACAAAACTGTCGCAATACAAAATATGCTGGAGTAATTAAATCACATTGCTTTTAGTTATATATTTAAAAGGCACAAGACAAAATGTGTTTATTCTTTTCAATGTTTAACCAAATCCTGGGTTAACTGGAGTGTTTTGGTAACCTAAACTGAACCACACCCAGGACTAGGGTGTTTCAAAAGTCTAGTTTCTGGTGGTAAAATCCTTTGTACGTTGACCGTTAACCCAGGCCACTTCCCTAAATTATGCAGCTCCTTCAGTGTGGAACAACCTACACTTCAATCACTTGTTTCTCTGAGTAGATTTAAATCTGTGCTAAAAGAGTGATGCTCACTGTCACTTCACTATCACTGTAACTGGGATGGATTTTGCTGTTGATTTAGCCCAGTTTTCGGATGTTCTGTGGGCATTCTGTATTTTTAATCTTAGTGAAGTTTCCCTGGTAAAATGATTAGTTAGTTAAATTAATTAATTAATTAACTAACTCTGTGTGGTAGGAAAATGTAGTGTTTCTCTCATTAAATCCAGAACCCAGACAGCACTTACATTTCCCTCAAAACATATTTGGCAATTTGATTTGATATAAACAGGCAGCTTGTGTAAGGGGTGCCTCTCTCATATTCAGGTTTTTTTTTCCCTCAAAGACATTTTCATTAAACTGCAGCACATTCATTGTACTTGCAAGCATTAAAATCTTACACACATCTCTCACATTCTCTCCCCCTACCACCTTCTGTCTCTCTTTCTGTCTATTCCTGTGTGGCAGAGTCAGTATCATCACAGCAGGAGGTGAAAGGAGAAGAGCTGGAGGCAGGAAGAGAGAGGTGCAGGGAGGGAGAGGGTGCAAAAGTGCAGCGCAGAATCACGCCTGACAGTAGAAGAGAGCAGTGTGGAGATGTGTGACACCGCAAAAAGGAGACGAAGGGGAAAAGATTTGTCTGTGTGTGTCTGTATGTGTGACAGGGTGTGAGTCTGTTCTACTAACACTGCATGCATGTGTGTGAGTCACTGTGTTTATTTGTGTGTGAGTATGAGAGTGCCCACTGAGTGCGGTGCCAGGCAGCAGCAGCTGGGAAGGCCTTCCTGTGTTCTCCTGTCATCAATAAATGATCAGAGCGGGCCATCTGGAGAGAGGGGACCACCAACCACCGGGACCTGGCACTGAGCAAAAACCAGAAGAAAAAGAAAGAGAATGTGAGGATAGATGAGGGGAGAAGTTAGAGAAAGAAGGGGATGGAACAGAAAGGCAGAGAAGGGGGAGAAAACAGAGAGTTCATAAATACAGCACAGAGACTTAGTGTTTTTCTTAAACAGGTATGGCCGCAAAAGTAGTTCACAAACCAAGATTAGCATTAGGTCATTTTTGGATGTTTGGTGATTCTTCTTAGCCAATCTTTTCATTTTAAAGCGGAATGCGTCTGTGTTTATGTATGTATATGTATATATAAATATGAAGTAACAAATTAACACACCCTTCAAAGGCAATAAAGGGAAAGCATTTAGGGCAGTTTACAGGAAAAACAGTTTAAGGAGACAGGCAAGAGGTGGGGCCTTAAAGCAACAAACAGAGAAGCACAGGAAATGCAGAAAAGAAGATGCTGTAAGGGAAGCCTCCTGATTTTGAACCTAAGGGATGTGCGCGCACAAACACACACACATAAAGGACAATAAAGTTACTTTAATTTGCCTGAATTAATTTTTTTTAATGTGCACTCATTTGAATTACAAGACACTGGAGTATTTCCAAACCAAAGCATCTCTAGAGCTGTATTTATTCAGTTCATTCACTTACTAGCTAGCTGTGTATCATTACATCCACTGATTTCTTGTACAAAGCCTACCATTGTACTATGAGATATAAGTTAAGGACAGTTTTTTGGATTCATCAGGTATTCCTTTGGTCTGAAAAAGGCTGAATATGTAAAACATCCATTCTCACCAAGGGGGTTTTTATACTGTAGAGCTGCAGAATGTCTGTTTGATTTTAATGGCCACATCCATTTTATCCAGTTATGATATTATTCATTCAGTCATTCATTCATACATTTTCCATATTCACTTTTTCCTATTCAGGGTCACAGAGAGTCTGGCAGGTATTCCAGCTTACACTGAGCAGAAAAGGCAGGAAACACATTCATGAACATTCACACCAGTAATTTTTGTAGATGGTGGAAGGAAGCTGGATTTTTTTGACTTCTCTACATAAGAACATATAAACCTCCAAAAAGCAATGTTAAAATCCAGGGCCTTTTTGTTTTAAGGTGACAATTTCGCACTGGGCCACCGTGCCACCCCTGATAGTGGAAACAGTTTTCCAATGCAAAATGCATATTTATCCTCCAAAATGTCATCATTCTCCTTTCACTTTGTATGGAGAAGCACCTGACATTACTGTCATGTGACATCATAGGATATTATGGTATGCGTGAATACTGTATGCATAGCATAGTGTGTATAGCTATAGCATATATACATTGTGTTCTTAAGGTTTAAGGTTAGGGAAGTAGCGGTTCTGGTTAAGGTTAGGCTAAGTCTGTGTACAGACCGTGTAAGTGATGACCGCAAGGCTGTGTGTGTGTCCACTGTAGGTGTCACTGAAAGGAATACTTTCCCTTTAGAGAATTTGTCAACTATTAAGAGCAGCTGCATGTTTCAGCTACTGTAAACATGTTGAACAGAACATTTTTCGGAATAGACATCACAATGCAATATTTTAATGAAATATATTACAGTATGAATAATATGACTTCTAACAAACATTGCAGCCAGTATTTAATGTGTTTAATGTTAAAGCCTTACAACAGCACTAATTAGCCATACACGTTTATGTTCATACACAGGCCTCAAATACATGCAAGTGGCTCAAGGTAAAATCCTCAAGTCATGTAGCAGGATTACTATCGTTCAGCTCCATCAGTAACAACAAATACTGTACTGTGTGTCTAATGGAAGGACACCAGGTGCCATGCCATTCAATGAGATGTTTCAACAATTACAAGAGCATTCAGTCTTTATTAGCATACAGGCTTCATCTAGTCTCCATAGCAACAGAGCCAGATTTATCTCTGGCCTTACATTTTGGCGGGGTTCTGTGGTTCAGTGTATGCTGGAAGAATATTATATACACTGTATTCTTTACACTACACCTTGTGCAGTAGGTTCATATCAGAGTTATGCATCTTTCTCCTCATTTTTCTCACAGTCTCTACAGTTCATAGAAATACAGTAATATACAGATTTTTATATCAATTCCTTCATTTATCAGAGTGTTAGAGTGGAATACAATGTAGAGAAAAGTAGAGTATATTGATATTGTAATCATGACACAGAAATTCAGAATTATTAGATTTAGATAATTTCATAATCAGGACTGCATCAGAATTAACAGCTGACGATTATGAGTTACTGCAGTAAATAAAAATTTTGTAACGTTTACTTACTAGGTCATAATGATGGATTTGCTAACTGCAGTTAAACCCACTTTATTCCACAAAACACACAATATCCAGTATGAAAAACTACAATGATTTTACACAGGGTAAAAAATAAAAACCATGCCTATCATTGTTGTATATTTTCTTTAGCAACACTTTATTATTTAAATCATGTTATATTTTACAATGTATGTGAGGATTATTCTAAGGCTAGATTGGGGGGTGGTGGTATTTAGCTTCATTTAAGAAATTATTAAAGTCATAAATCTATGCTGTGTTATTTTATCTTTCATATGTGCATGATATATCCAGGCAAAATATTATGCTTTTATATTGAAATGGGAATATTTGTTCCCTATGTCATTTTAACATAATCATTTTTCACTGGGCTTCTTCTTTCCCTGGAGTTAAAACACTAAATTAGGATTTCATATTCAACACCCCCCAGCTCTACTTATGAATGCACCACCCTCTCTGAATGTGTATCAGCATCTTGTATGTGTACATGCGGACCTAATTTGAATTTGCATTGTCATTTCAGATTTACGTTGCTTGACCATGGAACTTATTAGTGTTCCAATAAGCAGAATATGTCCCGGGACATGTAACTTAGCCATGCTTGGGTTCGACAGTAAATAAACCTTTTCCTTAGATTCTAAAAATGTGTGCAATGATGTGTGCTATTTGAATTCAAATAACCTATTAGAGATCAATATAGAAAAGTGAGCCACATGTTTTATGCTCTTTTGGGGCAGGCCTGTCTCTCCTCTAAGTACAGTCAGTGTTCTGCGTAATGTACAACAGATCATCTAGAGATAGCCTAGTTCATAGACGTTTAGCAACATTAACACTGATTCTGCTAACTGTCACTTCAAGCCATACCAGTGAATGAAGAAGTAGAATCTTTTCAAACCACTGGAACAAACTGAACAGACAGCGAAGATAATGAATTCATATTTGTAAAAGAAAAAAAAAAGAAAAATAGAAAAGGGGGGATGGGGATGTGTAGGGATGAACCAATGACTGTAAAAACAATAATGGACAGGCCAAGAGCTCCCAGGACTAACCATAGCGATGTGATCACCTCCCGGTGGCTGGTTGCTGTATAGGTCATAAATCCCTCCTTCTCCATAATTTTTCCCAGAGGTCACTTTTGTGATTTTACATGTGGTGAAGTTTGTTTTTAATAAGTTATTTGATGATATAAAAAAGGTGTATTTCAGCTGAACTGACAGCTTTGATCAGCGGGCCGATACTGTCGCTACACTTCCGGTCGTTATTGCGAAGAATCTGGTTTCAAAAACACAAGATGGCAGCCACTGTATTGAAAATAGTTTGACTTTATTTTTGCATAGTGGAGGGAAGTGTGATGTCATGTATATAATGAACGTGGCCTGCAAAAACACTATAGATTTTAGTTTTTGGGTTGTCTGTTTCATGTTACTGACCTTAGTATTGTAGATCAAAATGGACTGAGCCATTATAATTGTTTTCTATATATCATAATACATAATTACCCTCTGATGTCAGGGTAGATCATTTTATTAACTTCATTTTTAACAATTGCAACAAGTTTTGCACTTCTCTTTGGAACTTTGTATGACCTTGTTGAGCTCAACATACTGTATAGAATATAGTTTTCGGTTAAATAAATGGTACTTATGGATTATTTAGATTTTCCATTTGTGACATATAGTACATGTCATTACAAATACATAAATATAAACTAACTGACTGAAATGCGAACTATGTAATCCCACAAGTAGTGGGTAAAATACTGTAAGAACATGTAACATACAATTATTTAAGTTCTTTCAGAGGTACACATATTCTGTCCATCTCCAGTAAAGATAGAACCTTTTGCTCACACACACACACACACACACCGGTTTATACCAGCAGTGACATGATGGATTGTTTTGATCCCTTAGCCTCCAGACTGGGTAATACAAAAACAGACATCTATCCACTGGAGATTAACTTCATATAATTGAAACCTCTGTGGCTACTTAACCTGTAATTGCTACTCTGTACCATGTGGGTGGAACACTGTGAAGCCCTTTAACCTTGTACTCGGGTATGAGAGGCTATGACATGGTGCCTTACTGAATATGCTGAGGTGCCTTAATGGACATTGGAGTACAGGAGATGTTGCTCTTCACAAATGCATTAAAAATTCATTACCAAGCTGTCTTACACAGCTTGTTCTCAGCTTGGCTTTGTTAAAGTAGGTTGTTATCATACAGTAAAAGAGGCAGGGTTTGTAACAAGCAAAATAAAATACGTTATGTTTTTAATTTTAGATGAAATGGGTGGAAATTCTAAATTGTTGTGCAGCCTGTTCTGGTTACGTTTTATGTGATGTTTACACCATAGTTACCATGTGCTATTCTTTGATGTGTAAAGAAAAGGTTTGTTGTTCTTTTTGTTCTCAATATATATTTCCCACAACACCCAGCCCTTTCACAGTCCATCCCTCTTTGGCTTCCCATAAACATACTTCAGTAACATGTCATATGCATCAGCAGAAGTTCATATCACAGTGTGTGTAGTCATAAATCTCCTCACAGCAGGAGGGCCAACCACACTGAGTGCTCATCACCTCAATAATAAATTCGTTATTTACTTGAACCCAGTGGCTTCCAGACTATTTAACTCCTCCAGCAGTGCAGCTTATAAAGGTTGCACAATGTTGAACACTGCTATGGTGAAGGTATTCTCTCTCTCTCTCTCTCTCTCTCTCTCTCTCTCTCTCTGTTTTTTTTTCTTTTCTTTTCTCTCATCTTGCTGGATGTGATCACTGACAGAAAGCATCAGCTTTTTGGGCATTCACATCTGCTAGAGATGCCAGCTGCTGAGAGAGTTGCTGACGACAGCTTCTGTCTCTCTCTCACACACATCTTAGAATGTCTGTGATATAACCTCTACCCTTTCTTGTCAAGGAAATGTATTTTCTATAAATGTTTATCAAGGACAGAAAGGGTTACTACCAGCTCTTGTTACTATGTAACAGTTCCACAAATCCCAGGTTTGTTCCCTTCTTTGCTCTGTTTGTCAATAGGAATAAGTATAAAATGGGGGATGTTTTCTGGATTTTATTAAATCACCAACAATTTGTAACACTATAGAGTAGAACACCCAATTCAATTACAGATTCTATGATGATTTTATTGCTTTGTGAAGAAAAACAGCTTTTCACAACTACAACAACAACA